CTGTAAAGTAACTGCTGACTGATGTGGTTCGTAAGTAACTCCGTTACGCGCCGTGGGGAGAAACAGCTTGCGATCCATTGCTTGATATGCAGCAAAAATTATTGTCATTCCATGTCGTTGTAGAAGCTCTTTAACGTCATCAATCCATGATCTCCTTGGGCGGCCTCCTGCTTTCACTTCAGATCTTTCCATGTGTAGCGCCTGTATCTGTAGTTCTTCTGGCTGCATTCTTACTAAATGACCAAACCATTCGATCTTCTGTGCCTCGAAGGATTTTCTGTATGGTGTTGTTTCTGCAGTCTGTCTGATAATATTATTTTTAGCTTTGTCTTAGATGGTCAAATTGGCGGGTTTTCTCAGGCATCTCATTCCACAGATGTTAATTTTACGTAGGTTAGCCTCTGATAATGTCCACGAATGGCACTGGGTATGCGAGTGCAATTTTTACAGAGATTCCTGTAAATTACCGCTGGAGCTCCGGAGTTCGTGCTTTGTGTATAAGGCTTTCGGCAGTCTGGTTACTGTTCTGCGAAGAGACGTTGAGAGGTATGCAATAAAAGTAGTGCAACTTTTTAAATTCGAATTGAAAATCAAGAGCTATAGTTACCATGCTAGGAATCTAACCGTCACCTCTAGATGATGACAGCACCTTGATGTAGGAACGAGTGGACTAAAGCGCATGACCAACCAGGCACCCCTTACAAAATGTGTCTTTTTGTGCCATGTCTATCGTGCAATTTTGGGCGCGTTAAGAGAAGAAATAGACCCGAGATCTTGGTAACAACTGACAGTATTGATGGGAAGTGAGCAATATAAAGGTAAAGAAGTAAACATCGTTTCTCGTAAGCTCAAATCTTCATCATCACCTGCCCCGATGGCTAGCTTAGGCGTTCATGCATCTCGGTAGGAGTCAGCTTTACATTTTCACAATCACAAAAGAACATTGCGGCTAGAAAGATAATCATCAGCACATGACATTAATTGACATTGTTACATTAACAAATAAAAATACACAAAATCACTTAGCCGAGGTGTCCAAGAAAATTCCACATGACGGTCGGGCCCAGTTGAAGCTCTGAGGCAAGTGCGAATACCGGATATGACTGCTAGCCAGAAAAAGATTTGTAAGGCAAGGGCCATAATTTTTTTTTAAATAATTAGATACACTATTTCCGACAGAACATTGACAGAATGTATTGTTGCTGCCTGTTTGGTTGATGTTTAGTACTTGACATGATAAACCGCCAGACGCACTCACAGATGCTCAGTCTCTATCATCGTGTCGCAAGATTTAGAAGTACATTATTCAACAATTTAAGATTGAAAATGAAAATGAAAAAAAAGAATCAAACATTACAATGAGGTCCGTCAAACAAAAAAAAAAAAACCAGCCATTATATTTAGCTAGTGACATGTGTGAGGTTACGTATGCAGCATGGAGCAGTGAACGAACATTTATTTCCCTTTGAAGCCTAAAAAAAAAGTGCTTTTGAGACAACTGAAATAATCATACAAATGTATAGGGATCAACTTGTATTTCATTCACGGATATTTACGTGATGATCACGGATATTTACGTCCAAAAACTGGTTTGCATTTTCAAGCTAGGCAGGGACACAGAATGTATCTTTAGTTCCAGAGTGTACTTGATCTCTAGTGTCCACTGTCGAAATAATCTCCCCTCCCCCCTCCCCCCTCCCCTCTTCTTCTTCTCAGAACTACCCCCACCCCTGTTTCATTACTGTTCTCTCAAACCATGCTGGCGTTTGATTTGAACGAAGGAGTTGCGCTTAGAAAGAATTTGGAGGCTTATGAGATGTGGTTCTTCAGAAGAAAGTTGAGAATCCCTTGAACGACCATAGTAATTAACGGGAATTAATTGAGGTTTGAGGTTTGAACAACAGATCAACATCATGTCACACGGGTAGTAACCAATAAGTGCTCCGTTCTTCTTCTAACTGAAGTCTGAGCCCGAAAAAGCTCAGCACAGTGCACAGGCTCTGTAGCACCGGCGAGGATCCTGAAATACTTAAGGTAGATTTGTAACTCCGAATTTTGCCCGGGCAGCGCCGTTAGGCTACTCTTTTCGATTTCCAACTACCAGGGGATTGTTTACGTGCGCAACAATGCACACGGGCGTTCAGATATCACTACCCAGAGACGAGTGGGAATTACTACAAGTCCATGTCCATGTGAAAAAATCCCAGCTCTTCCCGCAGAGTGAACCCGGAACCTCTATCACTCGAGGCGAACACCATGCCTCGAAAACACGTAGCTCCCCTAAGCAGAGCAGTGTGATCGGCTACGCAAGTTTGCAAAGAACGTATTGCGGATATGATTTTAGAAATGCGAACCTGGCAACAAAACACAATAAAGGACACACACACACACACACACACACACACACACACGCATGCACGTACGCGCCCAAGCACCCGCCCCCAACCTCCCGCCCGCCCGCCCGCCGCCCACCCACGCACGCACGCACACACATGCACACACAAACTAGTGACATGATTTATAAAAGCTTGACTGACTCGGCAAATATTGAATCAGATTGCGAAAACTTGAACTTTGATGAAGTTCCTTCAGTCAGAGGTTTTCATTCTTGGGCTAGTAGTTCTCGCCGATAGGTATCTCGCATTTCTCCAACCCAATCTTTATCAGATACACAGTATACCACAAGTAGTGGAACAGGTTCTCAATTGTTTTGTTGTTGTTGTTGTTGTTGTTGTTGTTGTTGTTTTTCTCAATCACAATGTACCGCCACTGGTTGAGTGGCTTGGTCAAATGTCTACCATATGCAAGAACTAGCTTTGAATCCTCAATGTCCAAACAGTGTGCCTGTCACACAGGGCCTCATTCACCTGAGCACATTCTGCAGACCTGCCCACTCTACCTGCAACTTCGAAAAGACACCTTACCAAAAGAGCAAGCTATGGGAAACCATGAAGGACCTGCAGCTGACATGTGAGTTACCAGATTACCAGATTACCATCTTGCGCTGATTGGTCTATAAAAATATAGGTCTAGCCCTATATGCCCTATACGCCTAATGACATGGAAAAGGGACCTTTACTTTACATATGTAGTTGCCCATTTCTTCGTATTGGACTTAAAGTAGAAAAGAATGCAATCCTCATTAGACATGTTTATTCATATATTTATTCATTTAATTGAAAAGGTTGAAAATTCGAGAAATCACACAAAACGTTCTACACTTTCCAATTTGAAAACTAGTGAAAAACTTGTCAGTCCCAGCAAAAAAACGAAGCTCACACATGCAAAGTAAATGCATATCAGAGGCTCTCAGATGTGCCAACACTAACAGTCTTACGCTAGAACTGTAGCTCACAACTGATGCACGCAGTCAGTCACAAAGTCGTCATTATACAAGTAATACTGCATAAGTACACACGCCATTAGGAAGGTAAAAAGCTATGTTTAGTGCGGTTCACAATACAAATCAGGTACAGCAGAAAGAAACATATCTCATGAGATCCACAGCTTCACAGTGCGGCACCAAGCACTCAGCTCAGTAGCTGGGCGATGGAATATTTAGACTCTAGATCCAGAAATGGAAAATTGGAATCATTAACCTAGCTATAAACAAAGGAGCATGAAGTCTGTAATAAGACGTTATTTTAAAGGTTTTCATACGTTGGCGGGTGCCAACCATGCCTTGTTTAAGTACTCAATAATAGTAGTATAAACAATTATTATTATTATCAGTATGTCCTGAGTCGTAAATTATACCAATTTGAAACAATCTGAAATGTATAAACAACTAATTAGAAACAGGGCGTCTATATATGGTCAGAGGAATAAAGGGGTAGGGGGCATTTAGCTCTCTTTAACTACTTACTAGCCACCTCCTTGTGAGATGCAATCTTTCGTTATTTGAAGCCCCACCCTGACTCTTGCCAGGGGTCGCAATATAGCCCGGCCATGAATATGGCCTAATGGCTAAACGCGGTTTCTGGGACCTCTCCACGGGTGATCCTCATCCACATGGTGGCACGTTGTGTCATCGGTTGTTTATCTCTTGTGTGATGTCCTGGTGGGGTAAAAAGTACTACTACTACTAGCCCTCTTTAAATCTTCTGTTGGAAGTGGGGGAGTTTAGTGTTAGTGGAAAACCCGGCCACTACTTTGCTCTAAAGATAGTGGGAAAGGGGAGAGGAAGCTCAGTTTGGTTGAGCTATCATATTGTCATGTGATGAGAAGGAGAAAACTGGAGTACATCGTGACAGTAGGAAAGTTGGAGGGGAGGAGAGGCAGAGGGAGACCTAGAGAAAGATACTGGATAGTCTGACATCATGGACTATGAAAGATCATCTGTGTCAGAGTTGATTGAAAGTACACGAGACAGAAGATTGTGGATAGACATGACTACCAACGCCACACGGCATGGACCATGAAAGATCATCTGTGTCAGAGTTGATAGTAAGTACACGAGACAGAAGGTTGTGGATAGACATGACTACCAACGCCACACGGCATGGACTATGGAAGATCATCTGTGTCAGAGTTGATTGAAAGTACACGAGACACAAGGGTGTGTATGGACATGACTACCAATGCCACACGGCATGGACTTTAAGAAAAAGATCATATCGCTGGTCGTTGAGAGACTGAAACTCAATTGCTGGGGCCCCCGTTTGGGTTCCGGTTTATAGGGAAAACAAGACTAGACCCACTGCTTACCCAAAAGCATGTTGTAAGAGTCGACTAATTGGGAGTTTTCACTTTAAAGTCATATAGTGCATCTGCCTGAGAGGCAAGGAACCAACAGTCTGCACACAAATGTGTCAGATCTGTCAAACCGATGCACACGCAACACTCAAATTCTGGAACAGGACTGCAGTCCAGAAGTGGACGAACAACCAGAACTCTCCACCAGAGTTTACAGCTGGTGAACGCAAAGAAGAAGAAGGGTTGTGGGAGTGGGGGGGGGGGGGAGGGAGGGGGCATTCACTGACCAACAAGTTAGAGTACAGTTATGAACGAGGAGTGGCATACAAATAGACGCCGTTTTCTGGTTTCATGGTGACTACGTTGTTTCGTCTGGCCTGGTTTTGTGGGTCGAGAGACAGCTGAAACCTGAAATCGAGAAAGAAATAGTTCGTTTGTTACTCATTGTTATGTAACGTGTCGATAAGCTTATCCTACCATGTTTGGCCATCTCATACGATGACCAAAATCATGGAACAGGTCACTGTTCTTGTTCCCTGTGGGTTCCGTAGCCCCATTGTGTGGGAAAACAAGAATAGACCCACTGCCTCCCAATCAAGCATGTCGTACGAGTCGACCAATTGGGGGCTTTCTTCGAAGTCGTAGTATATCTGCATGAAAGTCAAGGAACCAATAGTGTGCACACAAATAAGCCAGATATGTGAAACGGATGTGCACGCAACATTTTGTTTCTGGAACAAGACTAAAGTCCGGAGGTGGACGAACATCCAGAATTTACAGCCGATGAAGGTGAAGAGGACGAGTTCTAGTCACTCCCAATCCTGATGACAAAGCCATCACGGGTATATCTCTTTGCCTTCCTCTTGCTTTTTTTCCCCCTCAGATTTGTCCGTCGTTACCAAGTCCATTGTTTTTAATACCCTTTGATTTAAAATGTTGATTTCTCTGTTTTTCTATGATATTCTTTGCATTCAAGTCAAAAATCAAATCTCCACACATTAAACCCTTTTTTCACTAGGTGGTTAATCCAATGCTATAGAAAGATTGTCAGAATATCTTGGACAAAGAAGAGGAGAAATACTGACATCTTGAAAGATATGAACATCAAGGAAGATTGGCTAATAAACAACATCCTGTCTCGGAAGCTGAAATATTTTGGTCATATCGGATTGACAAAAAGGATAGCAGAAGGCATGGTACCAGAAAGGAGGGGCAGGGGCCGACTGACATGAAGATGGGAATATAAATGATTCCTTGCGTGTGAAAGTGCATGAGGCAGGAGAACTGGCGAGAGACCGAGTTTCTTTCAGGCAGACCGTGATGAGAGCGACTTTCTGCAAAGGACCTGCTACATGATGATGATGATGATGATGATGATGATGGTCAATCCATTTCAGTCTATCTACATACTATTCTACATGGCTTCTGGATACTAAAACACACAAACAAACAAACATCTTTGCAAAACACAAACTATATACTATAACCAAGTAACAGAAATAAACAAACTGTCAAACTTATTTCTAGTGAGCGAGACGCTCCATCTCCGACCGAAGAAACAGGGTTTAATTTATCGTTGCCCAAAAAACAAAAAATAGACCCCCTGCCTCTCACAAGCATGCCGTACGTGGCAACTAATTAGGGGTAGTTTCTTCGAAGCCAAAGTGCATCTGCCTGATAGACGAGAAACTAACAGTCTGCATACAAATAAGACCGATCTGTAAAACAAATATGCTAGCAAAACTCAAGTTTTGGGACAAGACCAAAGTGATGCAGTGGACGGATACCCAGAACTTTCAACTGGAGTGTTCAACCGACCAATTTTAAGATAAAAACGAAGACAGAAAATCTGCATCGAGACTTTTTTTTTTTTTTCTTTCAATCTAGCCTTCTCTCGAAGGTTGACAATACCTAAAGTAGATCCTGGGTAATGTCCCGGGAAGTAAAGGCGGTACATGCATGATGACCCCATGACCCCATGACCCCATGAGTGCCATGGGACTGAGAGTATGGGACTGAGAGTATGGGACTGAGAGTATGGGACTGAGAGTATGGGACTGAGAGTATGGCTTACAAAAGCGACAGCTACAAAACCACTCGTACAGGACAAAGGTGACATTATGAAGAAGATTTGTGAACGAATGATGATAGAAGACACGACTTTTTGATTAAATAACGTCTAAGAATGTTTGAACGAAGAATTAGCAGTGAATCCGGCAAGGATGGGCGTATGGGAGGAACAGAACGACGTATGTGCTACAGGAACAGTTAGCATCTTCAGCTAAAGACATTTGCTGCGGGAGACAGAGCATCTGTGGGTATGCCCGGTGTGCTGTCATGTCAAGTCTGAAATCAATTGATAAAAGATTATACAGTCCCCACAGTGTGCCTGTCAGACAGGACCACAAACACCTCAGCACATTCTGCAGATCTGCCCACTCTACCTATAACTTTGAAAAGACACCTTGCCTCAAGAGCAAAGTGTGCAGAGCAAGCTATGGGGAACCATGAAGGACCTGCAGCTGACATGCGAGTTCATAGAAGCAATCCACCTGATGGTCTGATCCGAGCATACGAAACCGAAGACAAAGAAGAAGAAGAAGAAAGTAAATGTGTCTATAAAAAGGTCTGGTGCTATACGTTTGATGCCCCTAACGCAGGGAAAAAGATAATTTACTGAACTTTTTTTGTTTTTTTCATACTTACTTTCGGATGACCTTGACAATGGTCGTCTTCATCTCGTTCATGGCAAAGTTCTGCCCGATACAGTTTCTGCGAACAAACAAACACACTGACTGATAACTCAACAACACTGAGGGGTACTGGGGCGCTGATAGGAAGAAAACGTGGAAAGGGGCGCTGATAGGAGGAAAACGTGGAAAGGGGCGCTGGGGCCTGCTTTTGATTTTTAAAGTATGGGACTGAGAGTATGGGACTGAGAGTGTGGGATTGAAAGTATGGGATTGAGAGTATGGGATTGAGAGTATGGGATTGAGAGTATGGGATTGAGAGTATGGGATTGAGAGTATGGGACTGAGAGTATGGGATTGAGAGTATGGGATTGAGAGTATGGGATTGAGAGTATGGGATTGAGAGTATGGGATTGAGAGTATGGGAATGAGAGTATGGGATTGAGAGTATGAGACTGAGAGTATGGGATTGAGAGTATGAGATTGAGAGTATGGGATTGAGAGTATGGGATTGAGAGTATGGGATTGAAAGTACGGGATTGAAAGTTCGGGATTGAAAGTACGGGATTGAGAGTATGGGATTGAGAGTATGGGATTGAGAGTATGGGACTGAGAGTATGTGATTGAGAGTATGGGATTGAGAGTATGAGACTGAGAGTATGGGATAGAGAGTATGGGATTGAGAGTATGGGATTAAAAGTACGGGATTGAAAGTACGGGATTGAGAGTATGGGATTGAGAGTATGGGATTGAGAGTATGGGATTGAGAGTATGGGACTGAGAGTATGGGATTGAGAGTATGAGATTGAGAGTATGGGACTGAGAGTATGGGACTGAGAGTATGGGACTGAGAGTATGGGACTGAGAGTATGGGACTGAGAGTATGGGACTGAGAGTATGGGATTGAGAGTATGGGATTGAGAGTATGGGACTGAGAGTATGGGACTGAGAGTATGGGACTGAGAGTATGGGACTGAGAGTATGGGATTGAGAGTATGGGACTGAGAGTATGGGACTGAGAGTATGGGACTGCGAGTATGGGACTGAGAGTATGGGACTGAGAGTATGGGATTGAGAGTATGGAACTGAGAGTATGGGACTGAGAGTATGGGACTGAGAGTATGGGACTGAGAGTATGGGACTGAGAGTATGGGACTGAGAGTATGGGACTGAGAGTATGGGACTGAGAGTATGGGATAGAGAGTATGAGACTGAGAGTATGGGACTGAGAGTATGGGACTGAGAGTATGGGATTGAGAGTATGATTGTCTGGTTTAAGACTTGCCTAAGTGGGCAATTATTATTTTTATTATTATTATTATTATTTTTATTGTTATTATGTGTTGAGTTTAGTTTTAACAACATATCGTAGCAAACAGGACATTCCCATAAACGCTGCGTCCCCATCTTCAGCAGTTCCAACTCCGATGGTACCAATATCAGTCTGACTGTAAGTCTGTCTTGCCTTCCCTCTGAGTGTACAGCCTCGGAGGAAGCCTCAGGTCACTCCCCATTGGACCATTCTATTTAGACGGCGCTCTGTCCCCATCTTCAGCAGCAGGTGAAGAGTTAAAATTCCTTTGGTACCAGTAACTGTCTGACTGTATATCCATCTCACCTTTCCATTGAGTGTTGATCGTCAGCCAGATTACCTTGTAACTCCTCGCAGTGTCATTATTCTCAGACCTTAATAATTTTTCTGTGAATCGGCACTGTTCACTAGCTCCAAAGGGCCCTCACAACATCCAGCTTGTCATACACCAGTCTATCTGCCTGCTCAACTCCTAATACACCTTAAAGACGCATTGACAACATCGAGTTGTTGTTTTTTGTTGCTGTGTTTGTTATTCAACCTGAGCTTCGTTAATATAAATTTCTGTAACCTTTGGTGCCATTTCAATGGTTTGAAATTAATTATGTCCGCATTCCATAGTTGTGTATTCCAAGCTGTACGATAGACATGGCCAATAAAGACATTATTTGAAGGTGGCGCCTAGTTGAACATGTCCTTAGTACTAAGGTACTAAGGTACTTAGTACTAAGCGCGGTGAGGCGCACAGGCATTTTAAGGTGATAGGTTCGATTCCCGGCACGGTAACTATAGCTTTCGATTTTTATGTTCTCTAGTGTGTACTTCTACCTCTCTACTTCTTTCAATGAGTGCCGATCAATACACTGTCTCTTTGTTAATTATATATTGACAACATCTAGCTTGCTCTGCATCAATTTACCACCGAGTGGTGACGAATCGGCCAGTCTGTCTACCTGGGCGTGTTGAATGTTGAATTAACAATCGACATCACAGCACTCGGGATACTCCCTTAAGTGCTCCGTCCCCATCTTCAGCAGCAAATGGAGAGTTCCAATTCCAATGGTACCAGTAACTGTCTGAATGTATATCCGTGTCGCCTTTCCCTTCAGTGTTGAACGTCGGCCAGATCCCCTAGTAACTCCTCGCAGCGCCATTCTCCTTAGACGGTAATGATCTATCTGCGCCTCCGCACTGTTCACCTGCTTCCAAAGGGCTCTCACAACATCTAACTTGTCAACTATCAGTTCACCAACAAGTGGGGCAGAACCAGCCAGTTTATCTGCCTGCTCGTTTCCCAACACACCGACATCACCTGGACGTGAACAGAAACATAAAGAGAACTGAGACAACTGACCTGGCTCCGGCGGAGAATGGGATGTACTGGAATGGATCCATGTGCCGCTGTTTGTCTGGGTGGAACCGGTCGGGTCTGAACTCATGCGGCTCGTCCCAGATGTGGGGGTTGTTGTGGAGCACGTACAGGTAGAAGGCCACCCGGGTACCTGAGGGATTGACATGGTCATAAAAACAGATGATCTGCATTGGGGTGGAGTAGTGATAATAGTCATAGTATAACTAGTAGTAGTAGCAGCAGCAGTAGAAGTAGTAGTAATAGAAGTGGTAGTGGCAACAGTAGCAACAGTACCAGTAAATAAAAGTAGAAGTGGTAGTAACAGCAACAACAGTAGTAGTAGTAGTAGTAATAGTAGTAGTAGTAGTAGTAGTAGTAGTAGTAGTAGTAGTAGTAGTAGTAGTAGTAGTAGTAGTAGTAGTAGTAGTAGTAGTAGTAGTAGTAGTAGTAGTAGTCGAAGTAGCAGTAGCAGCAGTAATAGTAGCAGTAGTAGTAGTAGTAGTAGTAGTAATAGTAGTTGTAGTAGTAGTAGTAGTAGTAGTAGTAGTAGCAGCAGCAGCAGTAGTAGTAGTAGTAGTAGTAGTAGTAGTAGTAGTAGTAGTAGTAGTAGTAGTAGTAGTGGTAGCAGTAGTAGTAGTAGTAGTAGTAGTAGTAGTAGTAGTAGTAGTAGTAGTAGTAGTAGTCGAAGTAGCAGTAGCAGCAGTAATAGTAGCAGTAGTAGTAGTAGTAATAGTAGTTGTAGTAGTAGTAGTAGTAGTAGTAGTAGTAGTAGTAGTAGTAGTAGTAGTAGTAGTAGTAGTCGAAGTAGCAGTAGCAGCAGTAATAGTAGTAGTAGTAGTAGTAGTAGTAGTAGTAGTAATAGTAGTAGTAGTAGTAGTAGTAGTAGTAGTAGTAGTAGTAGCAGCAGCAGCAGCAGCAGTAGTAGTAGTAGTAGTAGTAGTAGTAGTAGTAGTAGTAGTAGTAGTAGTAGTAGAAGTAGTAGTAGTAGTAGAAGTAGCAGTAGCAGCAGTTATAGTAGCAGTAGTAGTAGTAGTAGTAATAGTAGTTGTAGTAGTAGTAGTAGTAGTAGTAGTAGTAGTAGTAGTAGTAGTAGTAGTAGTAGTAGTAGTAGTAGTAGTAGTAGTAGTAGTAGTAGTCGAAGTAGCAGTAGTAGTAGTAGTAGTAGTAGTAGTAGTAGTAGTAGTAGTAGTAGTAGTAGTAGTAGTAGTAGTAGCAGTAGCAGCAGTAATAGTAGTAGTAGTAGCAGTAGCAGAAGCAACAACAGTAGGAGGAGAAGGAAGAGGAGAAGGCAGCGATGAGAAGAAGTGGGACAACAACAATTAGAACAACAAAAAGTTGAAGAAATGCAAAAAGGGGGGGGGAGGGAGACAAGGACGCGTGGCTATTCCTAAAAAATCAGGACTTCAAATGTGAGAATTATCTCCCCCTGTGATGTGTTGAACTTTCACCTGCAAACCAGGCCAGACTTAGACTTCGGCTAACCAAGAAACAGTCTAGGGACCAACTATCACCAGGTTCTTTGGATTTTTTCTAAACGTAAAAGTAATGAATGTTTCGCTCTCCAGATCACGACCATATACACACTAGCTCACTTCTGATTGGTAGACTTTCAGCCATGTAACCATGGCAGAAGGTTACAGGGTGTGTTCCGCAATGCCGTTGATATCGCGTGTTTTATATTTCAGCACTCTAACGCTTTTAACACTCCAAAAAACAGGGACAAACTGGGTCTAACACAAGCTCCCTATACTGTGCGGCAACCTATGTCACAGGCATTCTCTTTCTTGGAATAAAACCGTAAATGCAAGACAACACAGAAAGCAAACAACAGAGCGGCACACCCGTAACCTGCAGGAAAGTAGACCAGCCCAATAAACTTGTGAATCAAACGTGACCTACTTTGTTTGGGGAGACTAACTTAAACCTAACCCTTCTAATTGTAAAGGGGGGGGGGGGTTATACTGTTGTGAGACCTTCTAGACTCATTTTTCAGCTTCCTTTTCAGCTTAGTAAAGTAATTTAACAGTAAATTACACTTGTCCATACCTTTTGACGTATTGTGCATATCTTTTTCTTGGCTCAGCGGCTGTGAGCTCTGGTGGAAAGTCCTGCGCTCTGAGTTTTGCGTGTACGTCCATTTTACTGACTCATTTATGTGCAGTTCGTTGTTCCTTGGAGGAGATGCACTCCGACTTCGAAGGAAGCTCCCAATTAGTCAACTCTTACGATATGCTTCTTGGGTAGACAGTGGTCTATTCTTGTTTTACGGCACCTTAAGGTAGGCCTCTCGCAATTTTAGGATGAGGTTAAGACCCCCCCCCCCCTTTTTTTCACCACTACCCTTTCCGCAAAAGAAAAAAATGAGGATGGGGGGGGGGGCGCGTTTTAAGATGCTCAGTGTCTAGGCTATGGGGCGCCTATCTCACCTGCTGGGATGATGGTCCCATTAATACTTAAATCCTCCGAAGTGAGTCTCTCAATCAGAGGCACTGGACCGTGGAGGCGTATGGCTTCTTTGAGACACATGGTTGTGTACTCCAAGTTGGCCAGGTCACCCCTGAGTGGATTCAATAATTTATTAGTTAGTTACCGATGGAGAAAGGAAGCAAATGAAAACAGAAATGATTGAATAATGGTAGAAAAGAAGACACTGGTGTGTTAATGCAAATTAAAGACATTAATGAATAACATCCGTAAATGAAGGAAGGAATAGATGAGGGAAAGGATATATGGATAGAGGGATAAAATGATGAATGAATGAATCAATGAATCAATGAATGAATTAATGAATTATGGAGGATGAATGGACGGATGAATGAACTAATGAATGAATTTATCGATAGATGTAAGAATGAATTAATCGTCCTCTGCTCTTGTGCTGAAATTAGCGGTTGAAAGATTGTGTATTGGTTTACAACTCCTCTGTGATATCCAGGACTTTAAGAAAACTAAGTTCGATTTTACCAAACAATCGAGTATTCAATTTTTTAAACCAAATGCCTTTTTCAAAGGCATGGGATCCATTCTTCACCAATGGGGTCCCAGAACCCATGGGGAGAGTATGGATCCACTGCACTCAGCGTGCTTGACCTGGTAGTAAACAATCTGTCACAGAAGAGGTCAAACATCTCGTTCTTAACGTTCTTGACATCCTTAACAATAGTTTAGACAGGTACAAGACAATGACATAGTTATTATAATTTCTATCCCATTTTTAACGCCGTCTTCATTTGAGGCCCGCTCCTATAACGATATCATCCGAACCGGCATTGTCAATAATTAGTTGTTGAACTTTAGTACCTAACCAGAAATCAAGCAAAGATACAATAAAGCCAATCAAGTTATAGGCAAAAGGCAATAAAGACAATCAAGTTATAGGCAAAAGGCAATAAAACCAATCAAGTTATAGGCAAAAGGCAATAAAACCAATCAAGTTATAGGCAAAAGGCAATAAAACCAATCAAGTTATAGGCAAAAGGCAATAAAACCAATCAAGTTATAGGCAAAAGGCAATAAAGACAATCAAGTTATAGGCCAAATGGCCCCAATTTTAAAAAGGGGCAAGTATATGAATATAAACATTAAAGGAACACTGTTTAACACAATATTCTTACCAATACTGTGCTTTCAGTGTCAAACATGGACATTGTCTTAAAAAGACAGATGGAAAATAGTCACGACATAAATGAAATATTTACTCACTATCCTTAGGAAAGATGATATCAGGAGGAGAGTCGGCACAGAACCAATCCTAAACTTTATAGGTCGACAACAAATCAAATGGTTTGGCCATGTAACAAGATTGGTAGGAGACAGGGCCCCACAATGTTATACAGATGCAACGGTAACAGAGCCAGAGGTCGACCACGCAGAATATGGACTGCAGAAATATCAGAGACTGAAAAGTACTTTGTACCAAGCGAACAGAAGGGCCCGTTCCAGAGATCTCTTCCTGCCCTGACGCTGAGAAACACTCCTAGAGTACAGAAAAAAAAAGAAGAACCATAACTGTTTAAAAAGTAAATATACAGGTGTAGACAACACTGACCACTCCAAATCCTGCCTGTCCCCCAAGAGCTGGTTAATCTCCTCGTAGACCCTCTCCTGACACTCTGGGTGTCCAGCCAAGGCGTACAGTGTCCAAGTCATAGCGCTGGCTGTTGTGTCGTGACCTGAAACACAAGAACCACACTTATCTTTAGTCCTGTGAAGTAAAGGCGGCCGGCGTGATGTTGACCACATCACCCACCAAGTGCCGATCGGTCTATAAAATATAAGTCTAGCCCTATATGCCCAATACGCCTGAGGGGCGTGGAAAAGGGTCCTTTACATTTTTACTTACTTCACAATCATCTAAATAACTGACTGGTTTGAACAACGGGTGAACATCAGGTCCGGCCCAAGGGCAGTAACCTATAAGTGTCCCGTTCTACTTCTGACTAGAGCCTGAGTTCAAAGAATATCTGCGCAGTGCACGAGCTCCGTAGCACCGGCTAGGATCCTGAAATACTTTTATCGAACAACTACCACTCAAATCAACTGTTTGCGAAAGACTGTACAAATTCAGCAGAGATCGTATGAGAAATAAATAAGTCAGAAGAATTACTGAAACAATACTCCTAGATAACTTCACTGAGAAGGAAAGACTGAAATGGTTTGGCCACCTAGTGAGAATGAATCCAACGAAACCGGCAGATAGAGCGTACAACATATAAATATCAACACGAAGAGGCAGAGAGAGAGAGAGAGAGAGAGAGATACCTACAAGAAGACAGACAGAAGAGGGAGTCACTGACAACCTGTGACTCCGCAGTACCACACCAAATCAAGCAAGAACTTACCTACAAAATATCATGAACTTCATGAACATGTATCAGAAAAGCGAAAGAAGCTGCCTGGCTTTGGTATGGGCACACAGCAACCTCCCTCACCTGAATCTACACCTGGGTATATGCGGGAGTAACAGGTTAAGAACAAGCTGACCAACTGGCTGGCTGCTCCACTACATACGGGGAAGATGCATAGACATTGCTAATATCAGCAACGTTGTACGGACTAACTGGATAGTAACCAATCTCTGACGCTCACACGATTATGTGATCTTGAAGTGAAGCCTGGTAAAGCACGTCGATTTCGTCTTTGAGGTCAGAATAGTAGATATTGTAGCCAACATATCATAAAAATTATCCGTTGAGGTACACTGGAGTGGCTGCTGCATTGAAAGACCTCCCACGTATGAAAATGGTCCATGTGCGATGACGTTGATTATGATAACATAACATCACATAAAGCTACCGATGCCAAACATGGACAATATCCACCATCTGCGAGATGAGATGCCAAAGAAAAGCCACCAACGTAACCTTCCGAGTTCGAGCGCACTATGAAACTATGAGACAGGTTGTAGGAACGACACCTTGTACTAGATTCATCAAGAAACAGCAGATCAAGAGGTTTGGCCATCTCGTTAAAATGCAGCAAGATCAAATACCATCACAAGCACTGCATCTTAGAAGATCAGCTACCAGAGCAAAAGTACGGCAACAAAAATCATGGATTGATAACATTAAAGACACTCTACGCCTTCACAGCATGACAATAGCCAGTGGCAGCCTACGTGCACTGGATCGCAAATATTTCCTCCCCACGCCGCTCAACCGAAGAAATGGTTTATGATGATGGTGATGATGATGATAAAATACAGATACCAAACCAGGACAGACCTGCAAACATGAAGGTGTCCACTTCGTTCCTGAGTTCCACAGGACTCAAACCTTGGCCATCATCGTCTCTGGCGGACAGCAGGAGATCTAGAAAATCTTTGACTTTCTTCTGCGATGCCAGACTTGGATCTCTCTCCTGTGAACACAAGTTTAACCTAAATATTTTTTGCTTCTTTCGTAAAACAGCATCCTGTCTCGGAAGCTAAAATATTTTGGTCATATCAAGCGCCGCGTAAATTGGGGAAAAAATAATAACAGAAGGCATGATGCCAGGAAGGAGGGGCAGGGGTCGACCAACACAAAGATGGGCACATGATATAAGTGACAGCTTGAATATAAAAGTACATGAGGTGGAAGAACTGAAAAGACCGAGTTTTTTTTTTCAGGCAGACCGTGATGAGAGCGACGTTCTGCAAGAATTTAGTTGCGTGTCCTTTACAGGACGTTGCAGAACCAACCCCAGCATTTTTAGGCTGTTGTGGTTTTTCTAGGCAAGTTTTACGTTCAGTAGTTTGCCATACGTTCTGCAAAGGACCTGCTAAATGATGATGTGGTACCCTGTCTGCTGCCAATCTTGTTACATGGTCAAACCATCTGATCTCTTGTCTAAGGTAAAGGTCAGTAAACACTGAAGAACGAAAATCATACCAGTTCCCCTCTCCTCTTCTCGATAACGTCCTCAGACACTTGGTGTGCGATGTCGCATAGTTTGTAGAAACGTTTCCCGTCAGTGGAGACGCTATAGATTAACTCTACGAACAGATGCGGTTGTCTGTAGAGCAAAAGTCAGTCTCGTTAGTTACGTAAATATGCGACTGGTCGCCCAACAGTGGTTTTAAAATTTGATAGCATCCCCTTACTGTATGGCACAGAAACATGGACAATGAACAAACAACTGGAAAATCGTATCAATTCTTTGGAGATGTGGATATACAGAAGATTAGGTCGTATTTCATGGAAACAAAAGCTATCAAATACAGAGGTACTGAGGCAAGTGGGAATGAAAAGAGAGTTGCTAGGTGAAATAAAAAAGAGACAAGTGAAATATTTTGGTCACATTAAAAGACATAACAGTATTGTAAAGATCATTCTAGAGGGAAAGGTTCAAGGTAGGCGAGCAAAAGGCAGACAGCGTTACAAGTGGGAAGATAACATCAAGAGATGGACGAACAGCAGTATGAGTGAGTGTACATCAAGGGCAAGAGACAGGGCTTGCTGGAGATCCATTACAGCCAACCTTCATTGTGGAGACGGCACCTGATTGATTGATTGAGCATCCCCTTGGAGCGGGTTCAAGGGAGTTTTGTAGGAGTGTCAAACAATTTTGCTACTAACATTTTATTTCAGTTTAACTATTTTATATATATATGTACACAATGTTCCGCAATCGAAACCCACTGCTGGCTGCGTGGATTTTTATCATGCTATGAGGCGTCACAGGAGGTCGACCTAGCCTAAAATGGGTACCAGGATGTATGTCCTGGGGAAGTAAAGACGGCCGGCGTTATGCTGACCACATTACCTACCTAGTGCCGATTGGTCTGTAAAAATATGGGTCCTCTTCCCATATGCCTGATGCGACTAAAGGCTTGAAAATGGATCATTACATATATATATATATATATATTAACATTCATGAAAGCAAAACGGCGCTGTCAGCTTGATATGGGGCGTGAAATACTGTGCCTTGTCCAACATCTGACCAAAAATAGCAGATATTCATCATTATCATCATCATCAATTTTTACCTCTGCTGTTTAACATCGTGGGGAAGAACAGTTTGCGAAACTAGGCAGAGGCAGACCTGTCCGAATATGGATACAAGAAATAGAAGATGTACTGGCTATGAAAGCAAACAGAGCTTGAGAACTGGCTAGAGATACTCTTAGATGGACGTGGGAGTTGCCGTGGTCTAGCGGCTTGACGCTGGCCTGCGGATCGGAAGGTCGTGGGTTCGGATCCTGGCGGGTGCCGGACTTTTTTCAAAAATGATCTTGTTTTTCAGGTCGTCCCAGCCTTAAGTGGGTTTCACGTACAGTCCTGAAAACAAAAGGCGGCTGGTGTGATTCTAACCCCATTACCCGCCAAGTGCCGACGGGTCTAAACAAATATAGGTCGCCTAGCTCTGTAGGCGTGGAAAAGGGCTGTTTACTTTTACTTACTCTCAGAAGTGCCGTGACCAGGATGATGTTTTCTAAAGGACCCACTGATGACGATGATGGAGGTTAAACAGGATATTCAGGATTTGCCGGGGTAGTCTGCCATCCAGACTGGGATTTGTAAATTCCAAGATGGTGTAGTAAAAGTTTAGGTGCAGTCTAGACGGGACAAACAGATCTAATGTTCGAACCCTCACAGAAGCCGAAGAAGGTTCTCATCGCTATCACTCTGCCGTGCAGTTTTACTTCACATAGGACCCGCCGAGAAGTTAATGCCCTCCGAGAAATGGGAAGAGTGGAGGACTTTGGGGGCAGTGAATCCACATCACTCGCCAGAATGGCAGACTTTGGAGTTAAGATCGGCATAGCAAAAAAGGAGACGCATACCAGACACACCAGAAGACTTGTTAATCAACATAGAACTGGTACTATTAGCCATCAGACGTTGGGGTTCATACTGAGGGGAGAATCTGAGCACCTTTGGACATGTTCGGAGTGCAATGATGATAACCCAACTAACTAACTGACTAATAGGACCTGCAGCTTCAGACGTACAGGTGTTATCTTTCTTTTGGAGTAAACAAGAAAGGCCGAGAAAGGGATCATGATGCCTACCTTATGCGAGTAATTGCATGTGCAACTAATGATCTGTTTTAACTCCTGCTTCTATCGATAGTGAACTGCCTTTCTATTATCAAATTGTTTGTGTATGCTGTTTGCTTTGCCCAGATACAATCTGTGTCAATTATTTCCGTAAGAACAGTGAAGAACATACCTAAATAACTGCTACAGAAAACCTTGGTACCCCACTGTCCACAACCTGAAGCTACGGTCATAATTTTTTTTAAATGTAAATCGAGCAGAAATCAAAGAAACAACGAAACAAACAAACATACAGGGCTCTCTTTGACCACAGTCTCTGCAGTTCTGAAATGACCTTGACATACTCATTCCCAGACCTAAAGAAGGAAACAAAAATCCAGTAAATTTTCATTTTGAATGGGGAATAAAATATGCTTATTCTGTTTGTTAGCAGACAATTTCCATGTGTGCTTATGTATATGTCGTCCTTGAGATTCTCAGAACATATATATTTATTTAAATAATTAGGAAATAAACTTCTGTTTCGTTGATATTTGGTCAACCGCTAAATCTACGATGGGCCATAAACCGGAACATCAGCTCAAGGTCTATTATGTGTCCCCAATTCTTAGATGTCCAGTCATGTTATCACAATCGACGTCACTGGACGTTGGGCATTCCCATGCGTGCTCTATCCTCCGATGCAGCAGCCACTCCAGGGTACTTCTACTAATTGTTCCCATGAGAAGCTAGTTATATTGTCTCCTATCTCGAACTCGAAGACGGCAAAGACGTGCTTGACCATGCTTTACTTCCATGTCACGCAATAGTGTTAGTGTCCGGGATTCCTCATTATCCACTAGCCCAGTCCGTACAGACTTAACGATATCTGCTCTGTCCATGCTTTTTTCCCGCAATCCTTAGTACAGTGCTTGCCAGTTGGTCCGCTTACTCATTTCCCTTTACACCCGCATGACCCGATGTGTAGATCCTGTTGCTACTGGTAAGTCACGTTCGGAAGACTGTTTAACACAAAGAGATAGGCAGAGAGGTGTCTGGCACATACCTTATTTTAATAAGACCAAAATGGCCGATAGCCAGTTGATTCTCCTGACGCTTTGAATATTTCTCATAATTTTCTTTTCCGCTGGTTTGCAATGTTGAAGAACGCTGCAGTAAAGAGAACGCACATTCTTTTTCCTCGCGTTCACCAGCTGTAAACTCCCAAGGAGAGTTAGGCTTCATCCACTTCTGGACTTAGGGTTTGCTTTAGAACTTAAGTTTTTACGTGCACATCCGTTTTACACATCTATCGTATCTGTGGTTGCTGGAATCTCAGGCAGATGCATACTATTTCAAGTAAAACCCACTAATAAGTCGCTTTGTAGAACATGCTTGATGGAAAGGTGGTGGGTCTATTCATTTTTCCCCAGTGTGGGGCCCCTGAACTCACACGGAGAGGTATACAACTGACTTTAAGGGAAAGAACTGGGGAAACAAAAGAGAATACTCACTCTAGAGTTTGACAGTCGGAGTTGTAAGAGAAAGCACATCTGAGAATGATATCAAGCGCGTGCATGTTGATGAGTGAGTACATTTCCATACTCTTGCCTCCAGAACTTGATGTCGATATTTTGTTCTGTGTCATGGAGATAAAATACACGCAGCTGTTAGTGATTCATCGAGATAACAAATATGAAACTGTTGGTGATTCACAGAAATAACAAATATGAAGCTGTTGGAGATTCACATAGATAACAAAAAAAATAAGCTGTGGGACATTCACAGAGATAACAAATATGAAGCTGTGGGACATTCACAGAGAAAACAAATACGAAGCTGTTGGACATACACAGAGATAACAAATATGAAGCTGTTGGACATTCACGGAGATAACAAATATGAAGCTGTTGGACATACACAGAGATAACAAATATGAAGCTGTTGGACATACACAGAGATAACAAATATGAAGCTGTTGGACATACACAGAGATAACAAATATGAAGCTGTTGGACATTCACAGAGATAACAAATATGAAGCTGTTGGACATTCACAGAGATAACAAATATGAAGCTGTTGGACATACACAGAGATAACAAATATGAAGCTGTTGGAGATTCACATAGATAACAAAAAAAATAAGCTGTGGGACATTCACAGAGATAACAAATATGAAGCTGTGGGACATTCACAGAGAAAACAAATACGAAGCTGTTGGACATACACAGAGATAACAAATATGAAGCTGTTGGACATTCACAGAGATAACAAATATGAAGCTGTTGGAGATTCACAGAGATAACAAATATGAAGCTGTTGGACATACACAGAGATAACAAATATGAAGCTGTTGGACATACACAGAGATAACAAATATGAAGCTGTTGGAGATTCACAGAGATAACAAATATGAAGCTGTTGGAGATTCACAGAGATAACAAATATGAAGCTGTTGGACATTCACAGAGATAACAAATATGAAGCTGTTGGAGATTCACAGAGATAACAAATATGAAAATGTTGGAGACTCACAGAGATAACAAATATGAAGCTGTTGGAGATTCACAGAGATAACAAATATGAAGCTGTTGGACATTCACAGAGATAACAAATATGAAGCTGTTGGAGATTCACAGAGATAACAAATATGAAAATGTTGGAGACTCACAGAGATAACAAATATGAAGCTGTTGGACATTCACAGACATAACAAATATGAAATATAATAGATAAAGTTGTTAATGATTCATCAAGATAAAATAGAAGAGATTGTTTTTGATTCATCAATTCTATTTTGTTTGCATTGTAAGGGGTAAAAAACCTTTTAATGTTTTAATTGATAGCACATATAGTATAAGGGAGTCGCCGTGGCGTAGCGGTTAGACGCTCGCCGCGGATCAGAAGGTCGTGGGTTCGCTCCCTCGCGGAGCCGGATTTTTTCAAAAATGACCTTGGCTCCCAGGTCGACCCAGCCTTGAGTGGGTACCGGGTGCAGTCCCGGGAAGTAGAGGCGGCCGGCGTGATGCTGACCACATCACCCATCTTGTGCCGATTGCTCTATAAAAATATAGGTCTAGCCCTATATGCCCTATACGTCTAAAGGCGTGGAAAAGGGTCCTTTACTTTTTTTACTTACATATAGTATAAACAAAGCATCTAGTTCGCTTTACTGTCTTTTGGCTAAAAACTATCTAGTAAGTTTTGTAGTACTAGTGGTAATAGTAGTATTAGTGGTAGTAGTAGTTGTCCATAACTTCACAATCGCACACATAACCTCACAAACAAGGCCATAACTCAACAACCCCACACACGTCTTCTCAATGCTACAATCCTACATACAATTCCACACACAAAACCATTACTAAATATCCCATACAGCCTCATACAACCCCACATACAACACCAAAACTAAATATCCCACACAACCACCTACCTCCCCTAGCCAAAAACACAAGTCTACACACAACTCCACACACAACTCCGCGGTTAAACAAACGTTAGTCTCCCCAAACAAAGTAGGTCACGTTCCATTCATAACTTTGTTGGGCTGGTTTACCTTCCTGGAGGTTACGGGTGTGCCGCTCTGTTGCTTGCTTTCTGGGTTGTCTTGCATTCACGTTTTTATTCCCAGAAAAAAAATGCTAGTGACAAAGGTTTCATCACTCTCTAAATGAGTTTTGTGTTAGACCCAGTTTGTCCATGTTTTTTTAGTGTTAAAAGCGCTGGGGTGCTGAAATATATAACACGCGATATCAATGACATTGCGGGACACCTCCGTAACATTGTGGCAAGGTAACGTGGCTCAAGTTCGACCAACCAGAAGTGAGCTAGGCTTACGGTCTTAAGGTATAACAATCAGAAGTGTGCAAATGGGGAGACTAACGTTTGTTTTACCCAACTCCGCACAGCACTTCAGAACACCACACTTACAATCAAGATGTCGGCACACTTGTTGTAAATGTCCAGATAAGACTTCAAGATGTCGAAGTGAAAGGCTGGGGTCAGAAGACGTCGGCTGCGAGCCCATCTGTCTCCGTTGGCGATGATCAAGCCCTCGCCCAGCCAGCGGACGCCCATGTCGTAGGCTGTGGCGAGGAGTTTGCCTCGGGGCTTGGGGGCTTCAGGGAGAGAATGATAAATATATGCAGCATTTACTACTTGTCTCCGAAGTTATTGCTGTTGTAGTTTTTGTTGTTGTAGCAGCAGCTATAGTAGTAGCAGCAACAAGAGTGGTAGTAATAGTAGCAGTAGTAGTAGTAGTAGTAGTAGTAGTAGTAGTAGTAGTAGTAGTAGTAGTAGTAGTAGTAGTAGTAGTAGTAGTAGTAGTAGTAGTAGTAGTAGTAGTAAAAGTAGTAGTAGTAGTAGTAGTAGTAGTAGTAGTAGTAGTAGTAGTAGTAGTAGTAGTAGTAGTAGTAGTAGTAGTAGTAGTAGTAGTAACAGCAGCAGTAGCAGTAGTAAAGCAGCAGTAGTAATAGTAGTAGTATTAACAGCAGCAGCAACAGCAGTAGGGGTGGTTGTAGCAGCTACAGCAGCTGTAGTCGTCGTAGTAGTAGTGGTAGTGGTGGTAGTGGTAGTAGTGGTGGTGGTGGTAGTGGTAGTAGTGGTGGTGGTGGTAGTGATAGTAGTGGTAGTGGCTGTAGTGGTGGTGGTGATAGTTATAGTGGTGGGGGTGATAATGGTGGGGGTGGTGGTGGAGTGGTGGTGGTGGTAGTGTTGGCGGTGGTAGTGGTGGTGGTGGAAGTGGTGGCGGTGGTAGTGGTGGTGGTAGTGGTGATAGTGGAAGTGGTGGCGGTGGTCGTGGTGGTATTGGTGGCGGTGGTAGTGATCGTGGTGGTTGTAGTAGTAGTAGCAGTAGTAGCAGCAGTAGTAGCAGCAGCAGTAGTAGTAGTAGTAGCAGTAGTAGTAATTATTATGGTGGTTGTGTTAGTAGTAGTAGTAGTAGTAGTAGTAGTAGTAGTAGTAGTAGTAGTAGTAGTAGTAGTAGTAGTAGTAGTAGTAGTAGTAGTAGTAGTAGTAGTAGTAGTAGTAGTAGTAGTAGAAGTAGTAGCTATTAGACCGTATTTATGGTCGGGCTAAATTGCGGCCCCTGGCGAGAGACAGGGTGGGGCTTCAAAATAAAGAAAACTTGCATCTCACAAGGAGATGACTGGATGAATTAGTTTGTAGTAGTAGTAATGATGGTAGTAGTAGTAGTAGTAGTAATGATGGTAGTAGTAGTAGTAGTAGTAATTATGGTAGTAGTAGTAGTAGTAGTAGTAATGATGGTAGTAGTAGTAGTAATGATGGTAGTAGTAATGATGGTAATGGTAGTAGTAATGATGGTAGTAATAATGATGGTAGTGGTAGTAGTAATGATGGTAGTGGTAGTAATAATGATGGTAGTGGTTGTAGTAATGATGGTAGTAATAATGATGGTAGTGGTAGTAGTAATGATGGTAGTAGTAATGATGGTAGTAGTAGTAGTAATGATGGTAGTAATAATGATGGTAGTGGTAGTAGTAATGATGGTAGTAGTAATGAAGGTAGTAATAATGATGGTAGTGGTAGTAGTAATGATGGTAGTAGTAATGATGGTAGTGGTAGTAGTAGTAGTAATGATGGTAGTAGTAGTAGTAGTAGTAATGATGGTAGTAGTAGTAGTAGTAGTAATGATGGTAGTAGTAGTAGTAGTAGTAGTAATGATGGTAGTAGTAGTAGTAGTAGTAGTAATGATGGTAGTAGTAGCAGTAATGATGGTAGTAGTAATGATGGTAATGGTAGTAGTAATGATGGTAGTAATAATGATGGTAGTGGTAGTAGTAATGATGGTAGTGGTAGTAATAATGATGGTAGTGGTAGTAGTAATGATGGTAGTAATAATGATGGTAGTGGTAGTAGTAATGATGGTAGTAGTAATGATGGTAGTAGTAGTAGTAATGATGGTAGTAATAATGATGGTAGTGGTAGTAGTAATGATGGTAGTAGTAATGAAGGTAGTAATAATGATGGTAGTGGTAGTAGTAATGATGGTAGTAGTAATGATGGTAGTAGTAATGATGGTAGTAGTAATGATGGTAGTAATAATGATGGTAGTGGTAGTAGTAATGATGGTAGTAGTAATGAAGGTAGTAATAATGATGGTAGTGGTAGTAGTAATGATGGTAGTAGTAATGATGGTAGTGGTAGTAGTAGTAGTAATGATGGTAGTAGTAGTAGTAGTAGTAGTAATGATGGTAGTAGTAGTAGTAGTAGTAATGATGGTAGTAGTAGTAGTAGTAGTAGTAGTAGTAATGATGGTAGTAGTAGTAGTAGTAGTAATGATGGTAGTAGTAGTAGTAATGATGGTAGTAGTAATGATGGTAATGGTAGTAGTAATGATGGTAGTAATAATGATGGTAGTGGTAGTAGTAATGATGGTAGTGGTAGTAATAATGATGGTAGTGGTAGTAGTAATGATGGTAGTAATAATGATGGTAGTGGTAGTAGTAATGATGGTAGTAGTAATGATGGTAGTAGTAGTAGTAATGATGGTAGTAATAATGATGGTAGTGGTAGTAGTAATGATGGTAGTAGTAATGAAGGTAGTAATAATGATGGTAGTGGTAGTAGTAATGATGGTAGTAGTAATGATGGTAGTAGTAATGATGGTAGTAGTAATGATGGTAGTAGTAATGATGGTAGTAATAATGATGGTAGTGGTAGTAGTAATGATGGTAGTAGTAATGATGGTAGTAATAATGATGGTAGTGGTAGTAGTAATGATGGTAGTAGTAATGATGGTAGTAATAATGATGGTAGTGGTAGTAGTAATGATGATAGTAGTAATGATGGTAGTAATAATGATGGTAGTGGTAGTAGTAATGATGGTAGTGGTAGTAGTAATGATGGTAGTAATAATGATGGTAGTGGTAGTAGTAATGATGGTAGTAGTAATGATGGTAGTAGTAATGATGGTAGTAGTAATGATGGTAGTAGTAGTAGTAATGATGGTAGTAGTAGTAGTAATGATGGTAGTAGTAGTAGTAGTAATGATGGTAGTAGTAGTAGTAATGATGGTAGTAGTAGTAGTAATGATGGTAGTAGTAGTAGTAATGATGGTAGTAGTAATGATGGTAGTAGTAGTAATATTGATGGTAGTGGTAGTAGTAATGATGGTAGTAGTAGTAATATTGATGGTAGTGGTAGTAGTAATGATGGTAGTAGTAATGATGGTAGTGGTAGTAGTAATGATGGTAGTAGTAATGATGGTAGTAGTAATGATGGTAGTAGTAGTAGTAATGATGGTAGTAGTAGTAGTAATGATGGTAGTAGTAGTAGTAATGATGGTAGTAGTAGTAGTAATGATGGTAGTAGTAGCAGAAGGAAAAGGAGTTAAGTGGTGGTGGCGGAGGTCTTTGTATCAGCCGTAGACATTGAAATTATAGAAAGAATATGACGAGAGACAAACTGTACAAATATAACCGATGGACATATGATACTCACCCTGAGACTTGATAACGGCCTTGATTGTGTCCGGGTGGTACAGAAGCAAAGCCGGCAACAATGGACCCGCCCAGACTCTGTGAAAATATTTATACTTGCGCGCATTTTCACGTTCGTAGGCCAACCCGTCCTCATTGGTACCTGGGATCTGAAAGATTTGTATAGGTTTGTGTTACAGCAGTGATGTTCTACCTCGGAGGAGTACGGTACCAGTTTTGGGTTCAGAAAAAGCTAAATAAGCTACCCCATTTGCTGTCATCGTTTTCATCGTCGTTATCATCATCATCAACCACTTCTGCTGTTAAGAGGCGTGGGGAGGAGCAATTTGCGATCCAATGTAGGCTGTCTGACACTGGCTATTGTCATGCCACGAAGACTTGAAGTTCTTTAACGTTGTCGATCCATTTTTCATTGCCGTCCTCTTGTCACGGATCTTCTGTAGTACTTGTGATGGTATGTGATGTTGCTGTATTCTAACGAGAGTGTTTGCAGGTCTATCTGGACGTTATCTCTCCATCGTCTTCTTGGTCTGCCTCGTGGTCTACGACCATTCATCTCCCTCGTGAATAGTTTTTTCTTCTCTGTCACCTGACATTCTCTCAGTATGCCCCAACCATTTCAGTCTTTTAGCTCTCATGATGCTAGTGATCAGTGGTGATGTAAACAGATTATAAATTTCATTATTGCTTCTCACTCTCCATTCCCCGCTGTTTGCAACTTCGATGGGTCCAAAGATTCGTCTAAGAATCTGTTTTCGAAAACCTGTAATAAGGCTTCATCTCTTTTAGTTGTGCTCCAAGTTTCACAGCCATATAAAACGACTGGTCTTATCAACGGGTGAAATATTTTAGTTAGCTGAAATACAATTCTATAGAACTGTTTTATTTAGTTTGTGAACAATAAAGTTTCAGTAATCCTTACGTCCTTTTCAGGACATAATTTTTGGTTATTTGAAGCCCCACTCTGGCTTTTGCCAGGGGTCGCAATATAGGCAGGCCATAAATATGGCCAATTGTCTGAACGCGGTTTCTAGGACCTCTCCACGGTGATCCTCATCCACATGGTGGCACTTTGTGTCATCGGGTGTTTATCGGTTGTGTGATGTCCTGGTGGGGTAGAAAGTCAGTCAGTCAGTTAAGTTTCAGTTGCTTTTCATTTTAAGTGTTTAATTTTCTTCCCTTTAAGGGCTGTAAAGGTATAGTTATTTTCTGTTAAATGTAAAAAACATACATAATCGTACAAAAATCATGGCAGTCGAGCCATCGACCATTCTGGTATTCTGAATGCTCTACGAGAAGTAAGACTTTAGCGAGAACCAAGTGATGACTGAATCTGCAAACATGACCAAACTGCAAGAACAACATGTTAAAAGGAGCGTGGCCAGACAAGAACACTGTGCAGAAAGCCAAAGAAGAATTAGAAACCAACATAGAACTGGTGTCATGAGCCGCTACACGTTGCGGGATTTGCTGAGGAGGGGATCCGAGCACTTATGGACTGAATGGTTTGATGCGAAATGAGAATAATCTGTCGACTGTCGACTAACTAACGAACTAACACAAATCCAGCATTTTCACAAATCCGACACTCCTCGCGTTCTAAGCTCGTGGGATTTTGTAAATATCAACCTGTGGATGTGTGTTTTTTTTTTTTAATTCCGTACAGAAATAATAATAATTATTACTATTATTGCGCAATTACTCAAGGCTTGGGAGTCACCGTGGTGTAGCCTGCGGATCGGAAGGTCGTGGGTTCAAGTCCTGTTAGAATCGGGCTTTCTTCAGAAATGAGCTTGGCTTCCAGGTCGACCCAGCCTTGAGTGGGTACCAGGTAAAGTCCTGGGAAGTCAAGGCGGCCGGCATGATGCTGACCACATCACCCACCACGTGCCGATTGGTCTTCTAAAATTTAGGTCTAGCCCTATATGCCCTATACGCCTACAGGCGTGGAAAAGGGTCCTTTACTTTTTGTTTAACTTACTTACTCAAGGCTCAACTTAAAACTGCCTCAGGCCGACATTTCCTTTAAACAAAAAAAAAAAAAAAAAAAAACAGGCTATTCTCCGAATAAAGGGCACAAAAGATGGCGGCCAAAAACAGGGCCTCAGTCACGAGTCAATTGCGCACTTTCGGCGACTTAATTTGCGGTTTTCCGGCGACTACCGCCACCGCCAAAAGTCCCTGTGGATTGGAGCTAAACTAGATGGCTAGGCCTCACGAGCAAAGCTGTAGAAGATGCGGAAGCTGCTACTCGTGAGTCCTAGCCATCAAGTTTAGCCCCAATCCACGGGGACTTTTGGCGGTGGCGGCAGTCGCCGGAAGTGTGCAATTGACGCGTGACAGAAGCTCTGTTAGGATGTTTTTGCGGTCGCCATATTTTGTGCCCGTTTTTCGGAGGATAGCCCAAAAAACAATATATACAAGATAAAGACCCACCCCCTTCCACCCCACCCCCACCCCCCAACCCTATGATTTTACAGTGGCTAGGTCGCTGCCTTAACATCTTCTATCGCAAAAATCATTCAGAAACACCAACAGTAACTTACCTTGTGCATAGTGCCAGTTAGGTAGCTGAAGTCGGTTTCTCCGGGTAAGTTGTTGAACAAGGCGCGATAGGCTAAATACTTTTTCAGCCACCTGACAATCACAACTGTTGCCACAGTTACGATTAGGTAAGTTGCGAGCATGGTTGCCTCTGTGTCAAGGTTGCAGGGTTATGTTGATGAGAGGGGTCAAAGTTGCAGGGTTATGCTGATGTTGGTCAAAGCTTCAGCATAATCCTGACGCTAAGTCAAGGTTACAGGATTATGCTGATGTAAGGGAGGGGGGGGGGGTGTCAAGGTTACAGGGGTACGTTGCTGTGACGTCAAGATTACAGGATTACGTTCACAACAAAATATCGATTACAATATTGTTTTGATGTGAAATTAGTGTTACGTGTAACAACGAGGTTGACACAATGTTAGAAAAGAGACCGTTACAAGACTCTCTATACTGTCTCAGCAAAGAACTGCCATCCCTCTGAGGAATCCGGATATGGCTGTGTTTGTGGCCAGACAGTACTCCGAATTAGTTAGTTATCACAATAACACTACAACTCTAAGTTGATCTTAAGGTCCAACAATGAAACTGTGTTGGTACAGTGTCAGCCGAACTAGTGTTAATACAGCGTTTCTTGGTGGTGGTTTGCTGTCGCAAGATGATGTTGACGTCAAATTAGTGCATTATTGTGATATAAGTGAGGCTGGCTGCAAAGACAATAAGATGAATATAATTCATTATTAGTGTTCTAGATAAAACAATGAATGGGAATATAGGTTCTGTCCTTAATTTTTGTAGTAGTAGTAGTAGCAGCAGCAGTAGTAGTAGTAGTAGTAGCAGCAGCAGTAGTAGTAGTAGTAGTAGCAGCAGCAGTAGTAGTAGTAGTAGTAGCAGCAGCAGTAGTAGTAGTAGCAGTAGTAGTAGTAGTAGTAGTAGTAGCAGTAGTAGTAGTAGTAGCAGCAGCAGTAGTAGTAGTAGCAGCAGCAGTAGTAGTAGTAGTAGTAGCAGCAGCAGTAGTAGCAGCAGCAGTAGTAGTAGTAGCAGCAGCAGTAGTAGTAGTAGTAGTAGTAGCAGCAGCAGTAGTAGTAGTAGTAGCAGCAGCAGCAGCAGTAGCACACACTACAACTAGACGCTAGAAATGAAGTTCACTGACGATGGAAGACAATAGATCAGTGGTTGCACACGCAATTAATCGCATAAGGCACCACCAGTTCTCTAGCAACACACCGCTTGCCATTTTCTTAATCTACAGTTTGCAACACAAACCACGTTGGGCACAGTCGAAACAATACCAAATTTAACCTGCAACGAGTATTATTATTATTACTAATAATAGTGGTGGTTGTAGTAGTTTTTGAGAATGCAAGTAGTAGCAGCATTAGCAGTAGTAGTAGTAGTAGTAGCAACATTAGTAGTAGTAGTAGTAGTAGCAGCAACTGTAACGATTGCAATGCCTACTTTCGTTTTTTTCCCGCCTACGTTCTGCATTTCTCAAAATGGCAGTTGGCAGGTTGTGTTGCTGTTTAGGAAAGTGCTGTTTTCAAAAATCCATACGAAGATACCTGTGACTAGATCAGCGTTAGCGCAGTCGATAGGAGACTCGCTTTGAAATCCAGCTGCGACTCCCTGCAGCCCACGGTCGGCGTTCAAACCCAGAATTTTCCCAACGTTCCCCCAGCCACTAGAGAATAGGTACCAGAGTTCACACTCTGGGGTAAATGGACGAACGTCGCTGTAGCTAGGGAGTTGCGTGCGGACGGCGACACAGGCGGACAGTTTCTTATCAGCTGTCCGTACTGGTGGCAGAGCCCTTATAGTTTCTAACCGTGTGCAATGACGCTGGTTCACATCTCACGACTTTACCTTTTTTTTTATTTTAAACCAGTAATTAAATACACAAATCATGTGCCGTCTCTACAATAAAAGTTTGATACATATAGTATCTACTGTTATCTTTGGGAATATTGCTTGATCATCATCATGTGCCCTGCCAACTGGCGTAGGCGCTCATGCACCTCCACAGAACACGATCCCTGGTTGACTGGAACAGCTGTCTTGGTGATATCCCTCCATGCCATCGTTTCAGCCTATCCAGCATCATCTCTATTGGTCTGCCTGTACCCCTTTTTCCACTGATCTTTCCAGTTGTCACGATGTTCTCCAGTGTCTCTCTTCTCATTATGTGGCCAAAGAACAGTGTTTGTCTCTTTCTGATTGTTGTATATAGAGATCTACTTTCATTAGCTTCTTTGAAGTAATCGTTGTTAGTTACTCTGGCTGTTTAATGTATTCGTAACAATCGTCCCAGAAACCACATCTCTGTTGCTTCCAAATTCTTCTTAATTTGTTCACTGACATTCCAAGATTCACTGTCATTCAGTAGAACAGGTTCTATGTAACATTTTAGCACCCTCTTTCTGACATTTAATTAGAGCAATTTAATGCATAAGATATTTTTTTCATTTTCTCAAATGCAGCTTTTGCTTGACCTATTCTGCATTTAATCCCTGTCACACATTTTCCATCTGATGATATGATTGTTCCCAGATATTTGAATTTATTGACCTGGTTAAGTACTGCTTGATACTGTTCTCAAATCTTTTCCATCGTGTGACTCTCTTACTTCCTCTTCTGCCTTCTAGCCCCCAATGGAGCATAGGCCCTGAACCAGCTCACGCCAAGTTGTTCTATCCTTCCTCTATCGCAGGTGTCTATCCCCATCTTTTTTAACTTCACTCTCTAGCGCCCGACCGTCCAGATAGCAATGGCAAACTACTGGACGTAAATTGCCTAGAAAAACCACACAACAGCCAGGGGCTGTTGGGGTTGGTTCTGCAACGTCATGTAAAGGATACGCAACTAACTTAACCTCTAGCTTCCTGCTAAGTGTGTTGTCTGGATTTCTTTTATTTCTATGCCCCTGTGGGTTTTAATACCTTCATTGTTCTTCCTACATCTTACACAGTTCGAACATTCCAGGTGCCAGTTCTGGAGGTTTTCCTAGGTGAGAGGAGGTACGTCGACGATCCGGACTCATTTCGGCTTTCTCCATACGGGGTCATACATACTTCTTCTACTAGATCTTCTACTTCATCTTCGTTGGCTGGGTTCTTTCTTATTTCTCTTTTTGACTTTTCCCATGGCTGGCTGATTTATGCGGCTATTGTTTTTACAGGATGAAGTAGCCAACTCCAAGCCCAACCCTACCCTTAGTCGCCTCTTACGACATGCCTGGTAGGGTGCAGTGTTACTATTCTTTGCTTCCCGCGCGGGTCCCGGTAACACACGGGCGAACTCATCTACTACCCTACGAAAACCACAAGAACGTTTCTTTTTAAACGGATTATACTGGAAACAGAATCACAGTACTCGACGATCGTACGTTTGTAAACGCGTTCACTAACGTATAAGTTGGTTTTCCACCCAGTTTAATCTCTCTCTCTCTCTCTCTCTCTCTCTCTCTCTCTCTCTCTCTCTCTCTCTCTCTCTCTCTCTCTCTCTCTCTTCAAACACACACACACACACGAGAAGTAAAACATCGTTGAAAACTAAAGTAGATGGTGACAGTTGGACAGTGGGGAGAAAAGATGCCGGACACTTTGAGGTTATAGCTTGGAGGATCATCTGCGTCAGAACTGACTGAAAGTACAGGAGACAGAAGGTTGTGGATACACATGACTACTTACGCTATAAGGTACGGAAGATCATCTGCGTCAGAACTGGCTGAAAGTACAGGAGACAGAAGGTTGTGGATACACATGACTACTTACGCTATAAGGTACGGAAGATCATCTGCGTCAGAACTGGCTGAAAGTACAGGAGACAGAAGGTTGTGGATACACATGACTACCAACGCAGTGGGATGGAGAATTAGAAAGCACGCAAACGTTTCTCGTATGGAGTCTGTCAACCAGGGCAAAAACAGAAGGAAATACGTGGTATAAAAGAATCTTCAATGTAGAGCATTGGGAGAGAACATGAATCTAGAGGTGAGGAAAATACCTTGGCGATGGAGAGGACACGCACTGAGAACACTTGAGTACAAACGAACGAAATCTACTTTAAGTAAGTCACAAATATGGCCATGTAGACCCATCTTATTATTCGACCCTTCCAAACATCCTTCTTTCATACAGTATTTGTATTGTATCAATAAAGCATGGTATGTTCATTTAAATAAAACAATAAACATAGATGAACATCAAGGAAAAAACACATAAGCGTAGATTGTAAATGCATGCAATCAACTGCACACACACGCGCGCAAGCTGGCATACATGCAGATAGGTTAGCATGTATGTAAGTTCACATGCACACTCAGTCATACCAAAACATACATTCTCGTGCACAAGAACAAAATAACTGTAAAAAATAGAATGTCGTTACGTGGGAACCTACATGGACATACAAATAAAGACGTTAGAAAAATAAAGGAAGGAGTTGGACACTAAAATTAAACAGATGAAGAGGGGATGGGATGGGCTGCATGCGAAAGTAAAAGATAAACTTGGTGTAGAAGGAGACAGTCATCATTTTAACTTTTCGGCCATGTTATGAGAAGAGGTAAAATAGAGCATGTTGTGATCACTGGAAAGATCTGTGGAAGGAGGGATAGAGGAAGACAACGAGAGAAGATTCTTGACAGTCTTGTTGCATGGCATGGAGGTGTGTCAGCACACGAACTGATACATGCTGCAGGAGATCGTGGATTATGGCGAGGCATGATCGCCCACGCCAGTCGGCAAGGAACCAGATGATAATGATGAAACTTGGTGTGAGCTGGCTGAGGGACGAAACATCTGGGGATCAAGGGTTGAACAAGAACACCATGACTGCGTAGTCTGACATTAACTTACCTCTGACATCATGTTCTAACCACAGGTTTTCATCGCTGTCAGTCAGATTACAACTCTCGGGTATCTTCTGGGTAACGCTGTCACGGGCTGTGTGAAAACTGTGGTCCACTTTAATCCGCATCTAGGGGCGCCGGAAGCCGGAAGGTATGATCCACTATAATCTCCTCACGGCACACACTAGCTCGCTTCTGACTAATCGAATTCCAGTCACCCGACTTTCGCACGCTGCTAGGGGGGGGGGTTTTCGGCAATCCGTTGACATCGCATGTTGTATATTTAACCACGCGAGC